AGCTATAGTGGAGGTGGTCAGCATGGTAGATATGATGGTAGGAGATATAGTGGAGGTGGTCAGCATGGTAGATATGATGGTAGGAGATATAGTGGAGGTGGTCAGCATGGTAGATATGATGGTAGGAGCTATAGTGGAGGTGGTCAGCATGGTAGATATGATGGTAGGAGATATAGTGGAGGTGGTCAGCATGGTAGATATGATGGTAGGAGCTATAGTGGAGGTGGTCAACATGGTAGATATGATGGTAGGAGATATAGTGGAGGTGGTCAGAATGGTAGATATGATGGTAGGTAGATGATAGTGGTGGTGGTCAGCATGGTAGATATGATGGTAGGAGATATAGTGGGAGGTTACTGTACGGTTAGATATGATGGTAGGAGATATAGTGGAGGTGTGGTCAGTATGGTAGATATGATGGTTAGAAGCTATAGTGGAGGTGGTCAGCATGGTAGATTTGATGGAGGAGATATAAAGGTTGGTGGTCAGCATGGTAGATTATGTGGAGGAGATATAGTGGAGGTATACTGTCGGTAGAATGATGGTGGGAGATATAGTGGAGGTGGTTCAGCATAGTAGATATGATGGTAGGAGTATAGTGGAGGTGGTCTGCATGGTAAAATATGATGGTAGGAGATATGTGGAGGTGGTCAGCATTGTAGATATGATGGTAGGAGATAAGTGGAGGTGTCGTACGGTTTGATTGGTAGGAGATATAGTGGAGGTGGTCCAGCAGGTAGATATGATGTAGGAGATATTTGTGGAGATGGTCAGCATGGTATGATTGGGAAAAGTAGGAGCTTAAAAGTGGAGGTTGGGGGGCAGCATGGTAGATATGTGGTGGAGATATAGTGGGGTGGCAGCATGGTAGATTGATGGTAGGAGATATAGTGGAGTGGTCAGCATGGTTAGTATGATGGTAGGAGATATAGGGAGGTGGTCAGCATAGTGATATGATGGTAGGAGCTATAGTGACGTGGTCAGCATGGTTAGATATGATGGTAGCGAGATATAGTGGAGGTGGTCCAGCATGGTAGATATGATGGTAGGAGCTATAGTGGATGGTGGTCAAGCATGGTAGATATGATGGTAGGAGATATAGGGGAAGGTTGTGGGTCAGCATGGTTAAGATATGATGGTAGGAGCTATCAGTGGATGTGGTCAGATGGTAGATATGATGGTAGGAGATATAGTGGATGTGGTCAGCATGGTAGATATGATGGTAGGAGATATAGTAGAGGTTGTCAGTATAGAAGATATGATGGTAGGAGATATAGTGGAGGTGTACTTCGGTAGATATGATGGTAGGGAGATATAGTGGAGGTGGTCAGCATGGTAGATATGATGGTAGGAGATATGTGGAGGTGGTCAGCATGGTAGATATGTGGTAGGAGCTATAGTGGAGGTGGTCAGCATGGTAGATATGATGGTAGGGAGCACGATAGTGGATGTGGTTGGCATGGTAGATATGATGGTGGGAGTTATAGTGGAGTGGTCAGATGGTAGATTGATGGTAGGAGATATAGTGGAGTGGTCGCATGGTAGATAGATGGTAGGAGATATAGTGGGGGTTGGGTTTATATGAAAATATGATGGTAGGAGATATAGTGGAGGTGTACTGTACTGGGAGATATGATGGGAGGAGATATAGTGGAGGTGGGGCAGCATGGTAGATATTTATGGTAGGAATATAGTGGAGGTGGTCCGCATGGTGATATGATGGTAGGAGCTATAGTGGAGGTGTCAGCATGGTAGATATGTGGTAGGAGTATAGTGGATGTGGTCAGATGGGAGATATGATGGTAGGAGATATAGGGATGTGGTCAGCTGGTTAGATATGATGGTTAGGAGATATAGTGAGGTGTCAGATAGAGATATGATGGTTAGGAGTATAGTGGACGGGGGTCAGCATGGTAGATATGATGGTAGGAGATTTAGTGGAGGTGGTCAGCATGGTAGATATGATGGTAGGAGTATAGGGGTGGTCAGCATGGTAAAATATGATGGTAGGAGATATAGTGGGGGTGGTTGGATGGTAGATATGTGGTAGGAGTATAGTGGAGTGGTCAGCATGGTTAGATATGATGGTAGGAGTATAGGGAGGTGGTCAGCATGGTAGATATGATGGTAGGAATATAGTGGGGGTTGTATTAGGAGATATGATGGTAGGAGATTAGTGGAGGTTGGGCGAGGTAGATATGATGGTAGGAGATATAGTGGAGTGGTCAGCATGGTAGATATGATGGTAGGAGATATAGTGGAGGTGGTCAGCATGGTAAAAATTATGGGAGGAGATTAGTGGGGTGGTCAGCATGGTAGATATGATGGTAGGAGAAAAGTGGAGTGGTCAGATGGTAGGATATTGATGGTAGGAGATATAGTGGAGGGGGTCACATGTAGAAAATGATGGTTTGGAGATATAGTGGAGGGGGTCAGCATGGTAGATATGATGGTAGGAGATATAGTGGGGGTGGTCAGCATGGTAGATATGATTGGTAGGAGATTAGTGGACGTGGTCAGCATGGTAGATATGATGGTAGGATGATATAGTTGGACGTGGTCAGCATGGTAGATGAAATAGAAAGAATTCCCATTTAGTCTGTGTCTCTGTCTCTGCTCTGTCTGTCTTCACTGATTTCAGACTACCATACACAGGATAATATTTCACAACTTGACTCTCTCTCTCCTTTCTCTTCTCTCTTCTCTGCCTTTTACATTCCTTGACTACTTCTCTGACTCTCATTTTGACATTCTCTCTTTCTGACTCTCTCTCTTCCCCCTCTCTCTCTCTTCTGACTCTTCTCTTCTCTTTCTGACTCTCTTCCCTCTCTCTCTCTTTCTTCACTCTCTCCTCTTCCCCTGACTCTCTCTCTTTCTGACTCTCTCTTTCCCCCTCTCTCTTTACTTACTTCTATCTCTTTTCTGACTCTCTCTCTTTCTGATCTCTCTCTCTTCCCCCTCTCTCTTTCTGACGCTCATCTATCTTCCCCCTCTCCCTCTCTTTCTGACTCTCTCTCTTCCCCCCCTCTCTCTTTCTGACTCTCTCTCTTTCTGACTCTCTCTCTTTCTGACTCTCTCTCTTCCCCCCCTCTCTCTTTCTGACTCTCTCTTTCTGACTCTCTCTCTTCCCCCTCTCTCTCTTTCTGACTCTCTCTCTTCCCCCTCTCTCTCTTTCTGACTCTCTCTTCCCCCCCTGCCCCCCCTCTCTCTTTCTGACTATCTCTCTCTTTCTGACTCTCTCTCTCTTCCCCCTCTCTCTCTTTCTGTCTCTCTTCCCCCCCCTCTCTCTTTCTGACTCTCTCTCTTGCTGACACTCTCTCTTTCTGACTCTCTATTCTCACTCTCTCCTCAAAATAAAAGTTATATCAAAGCATTGCCAGATCACATATTGACATTGATACAGTATAATAACATAATTATAGGTAGTAGTTTAGTAGGATTGTGTATCAAACATTTTAATCTAAAGTTGTGTATCATAAATCATGTTCTTGTTATGTTATGGCAGATCATTTCTCGCCCCATGTTTGTTTACTCAAACATAATCGTATTATGAGTTTGCGTAGGCCCGCTCTCAATGTTAGGTGTATAATTACAGGTTTGAGTAAAACTCTGGTGTGCGAGGGAGGGAGAGAGGGTGGAAAAAGTTCTGCCTTTGAAAATATTTCCTGTTTCGCGATAGAGAACCCACCTCCATGCTCTGACTCAACGTAGTGTGCACTCTGCATTCACAGAGAGATTCCTCAGCAGAGAGTCTACAGCTGCGCTGGAGAAGGGTGTTACGTGGAGAGAGTCTGCCTCTCCCAAAGCGCGGCTCAAACGTTCAACGCTGCATTCTTGACTTCCACAAAGCTTTCTCTCTATTAAACTTTACATAGAAGCGGGATACATTTTAATCAACAACTGTTGAAAATATATTTACAGTCATGGAGCGACGTGGATTTTCCTTACTTTGGTGGGGCACGATACCTTTCCTGTTTGTATCCGTTCTGGAACCGAGCAGAGTGGGTGAGTTAAAGTTGAAGTTCATCCTCTTGACACTTCTACGAGTTTTGCAGTGACGTGAACACCTGTCATTTACCGTGAAAACGAATTATTAATGTTTGCCAATTAAAATAAATATAACTTGAGCTATTGGTATGTGCGCTACTAACATGTACCTTCAGTACAGCGCAACAGGTGACACTTCCACAAAACATTGCAGAGTTGAAGTTTTAGGATAATATCATTAGATAATATCATTAGAATATTAGAAGAAGAAGAAGAAGAGAAGAAGAAGAGGAAAAAGTTGAAGAAGAAGAAGAAGAAGAAGAAGAAGAGGAAAAAGAAGAAGAAGAAGAAGAATATAATATCATTAGATGATATCATTAGAAAAATAAATACGATATTTATGTATACTAGGCTATAGCCGACTTAAATGCCGTTTATCCACCCATCTGTCTGTCTGTTTACCGTTTATCTGATGCATGGAACTATATTCGGCGACACGTGGTTTAATGCACCGTTTAGTGCAGAGTATTTGTATAAAACCTCAACCCAATAATGCGTCCAGCCTTTTACCACTTTTCTCTGGGTGTGATGCTTGTTTGTTAACATTACCTCAGACTGTGTGTTTACACAGTCACTCTGCAATCATAGGTGTTTAGTATGCCGTGTAAATAAACCCTGGTCCATCCCATCTCTGCATTCCCCTACCTCCCATCCCAACAGAGAAACTGTGTACAGGGTCTGCATGTGTGATGTTGCATGGGTTGGCATAGTAGGACATTCAGCATGATAACATCCTGGGTGTTATAATGTAGTAGTAAGCAGAGATTCTATTGTCATTAACATGGTCGTTGTGATTCCTTCTACCCTACTTTCTGGTTGTTTGTTCATTCCCTCTCCTCCTCTCCTCCTCTTCCTCCTCTTCCCCCCTCTACTCTCCTCCTCTCCTCCTCTCCTCCTCTCCTCCTCTTCCCCCTCCTCTTCCTCCTCTCCTCCTCTCCTCCTCTTCCCCTCTCCTACTCTCCTCCTCTCCTCCTCTCCTCCTCTTCCCCATCTCCTCTCCTCCTCTCCTCCTCTCCTCCTTCCTCTTTTTTCCCCTCTCCTACTCTCCTCCTCTTCCCTCTCCTCCTCTCGGCCTCTTCCCACTCCTCCTCTTCCCCCTCTTCTCTCCTCCTCTCTTCCCCCTCTTCTCTCCTCCCACGGAGAGGCCTATTTTCAACCTGGAAACCCCACATACTAGAGAACTGTGCGACCCGGTTAGCATCCTATGTTGTGTCACAGACACACACACACACACACACACACACACACACCACACACACACACACACACACTGTTCTGCTACAATCCAAGCCTTCCTCCTCCACAGTAAGTTGCTCAGAGCTCCTATAAAACCAGATCACTCTGTGTGGTTGTGTGGGTGTGTGTGTGTGTGTGTGTGTGTGTGTGTGTGTGTGTGCTGTGGTGTGTGTGTGGTGTGTGTGTGTGTGTGTGTGTGTGGTGTTTGTTTGTGTGTGTGTGTGTTTGTTTGTGTGTGTGTGTGCGTGTGTGCGTGCATGTGTGTGTGTAGGAAGTCGCTAAGAGCTCATACAGTACCACATCTCTCTGACATTTAGCTGTCTTAACATCTGGCTGGATTCTGTTGTTGTTACATTAACTGTCTTAACATCTGGCCTTTTCTGTTGTCATTTAATAGATGTTGATATCAAAACAATCAAATCAAATCAAATTTTATTGGCCACATGCGCCGAATACAACAGGTGCAGACATTACAGTGAAATGCTTACTTACAGCCCTTAACCAACAGTGCATTTATTTTTAACAAAAAAGTAAAAATAAAACAACAACAAAAAAAGTGTTGAGAAAAAAAGAGCAGAAGTAAAATAAAATAACAGTAGGGAGGCTATATATACAGGGGGGTACCGGTGCAGAGTCAATGTGCGGGGGCACCGGCTAGTTGAGGTAGTTGAAGTAATATGTACATGTGGGCAGAGTTAAAGTGACTATGCATAAATAATTAACAGAGTAGCAGCAGCGTAAAAGGATGGGGTGGGGGGGCAGTGCAAATAGTCAGGGTAGCCATGATTAGCTGTTCAGGAGTCTTATGGCTTGGGGGTAGAAGCTGTTGAGAAGTCTTTTGGACCTAGACTTGGCACTCCGGTACCGCTTGCCGTGCGGTAGCAGAGAGAACAGTCTATGACTAGGGTGGCTGGAGTCTTTGACAATTTTGAGGGCCTTCCTCTGACACCGCCTGGTATAGAGGTCCTGGATGGCAGGAAGCTTGGCCCCAGTTGATGTACTGGGCCGTACGCACTACCCTCTGTAGTGCCTTGCGGTCGGAGGCCAAGCAGTTGCCATACCAGGCGGTGATGCAACCAGTCAGGATGCTCTCGATGGTGCAGCTGTATAATTTTTTGAGGATCTGAGGACCCATGCCAAATCTTTTCAGTCTCCTGAGGGGGAATAGGCTTTGTCGTGCCCTCTTCACGACTGTCTTTGGTGTGTTTGGACCATGATAGTTCGTTGGTGATGTGGACACCAGGAACTTGAAGCTCTCAACCTGTTCCACTACAGCCCCGTCGATGAGAATGGGGGCGTGCTCAGTCCTCTTTTTTTTCCTGTAGTCCACAATCATCTCCTTTCTCTTGGTCACGTTGAGGGAGAGGTTGTTCTCCTGGCACCACATGGCCAGGTCTCTGACCTCCTCCCTATAGGCTGTCTCAATCGTTGTCGGTGATCAGGCCTACCACTGTTTGTGTCGTCGGCAAACTTAATGATGGGTGTTGGAGTCGTGCCTGGCCATGCAGTCATGAGTGAACAGGGAGTACAGGAGGGGACTGAGCACGCACCCCTGAGGGGCCCCCGTGTTGAGGATCAGTGTGGCAGATGTGTTGTTACCAACATGTGGTGTCCTGTTGGTATGTGGTGTCCTGTTGATATGCGGTGTCCTGTTGGTATGTGGTGTCCTGTTAGCTAGTGGTGTCCTGTTAGCTAGTGGTGTCCTGTTAGCTAGTGGTGTCCTGTTAGCTAGTGGTGTCCTGTTAGCGAGTGGTGTCTTGTTGGTATGTGGTGTCCTGTTAGCTAGTGGTGTCCTGTTAGCTAGTGGTGTCCTGTTAGCTAGTGGTGTCCTGTTAGCTAGTGGTGTCCTGTTAGCGAGTGGTGTCCTGTTGGTATGTGGTGTCCTGTTAGCTAGTGGCGTCCTGTTAGCTAGTGGTGTCCTGTTGGTATGTGGTGTCCTGTTAGCTAGTGGTTTCCTGTTAGCTAGTGGTGACCTGTTAGCTAGTGGTGTCCTGTTGGTATGTGGTGCCCTGTTAGCTAGTGGTGTCCTGTTAGCTAGTGGTGTCCTGTTGGTATGTGGTGTCCTGTTAGCTAGTGGTGTCCTGTTAGCGAGTGGTGTCCTGTTGGTATGTGGTGTCCTGTTAGCTAGTGTTGTCCTGTTAGCTAGTGGTGTCCTGTTTGGTATGTTGGTGCCCTGTTGCTTAGTGGTGTCCTGTTAGCTAGTGGTGCCTGTTAGCTATGGTGTCATGTTGTATGTGGGTGCCTTGTTAGCTAGTGGTGTCCTGTTTAGCTAGTGTGTCCTGTTTGGTATGTGGTGTCTTGTTAGCTAGTGGTGTCCCTTTAGCTAGTAGTGTCCTGTTGGTATGTGGTGTCCTGTTAGCTAGTGGTGTCTTGTTGGTATGTGGTGTCTTGTTAGCTAGTGGTGTCCTGTTAGCTAGTGGTGTCCTGTTGGTATGTGGTGTCCTGTTAGCTAGTGGTGTCCTGTTAGCGAGTGGTGTCCTGTTGGTATGTGGTGCCCTGTTAGCTAGTGGTGTCCTGTTAGCGAGTGGTGTCCTGTTGGTATGTGGTGTCTTGTTAACTAGTGGTGTCCTGTTAGCTAGTGGTGTCCTGTTGGTATGTGGTGCCCTGTTAGCTAGTGGTGTCCTGTTAGCTAGTGTTGTCCCGTTAGCTATGTGGTGTCCTGTTAGGTAGTGGTGTTCCTGTTGGTATGTGGTCTGTTAGCTATGGTGTCCTGTTAGCTACTGGTGTCCATGTTAGCTAGTGTGTCCTGTTGGTATGTGGTGCCCTGTTAGCTATGGTGTCCTGTTGGTATGTGCTGTCTGTTAGCTAGTGGGTCCTGTTATGCTGGTTCCTCTTGGTATGTGGTGCCCTGTTAGCTAGTGGTGTCCTGTTAGCTAGTGTTGTCCTGTTAGCTAGTGGTGTCCTGTTAGGTAGTGGTGTCCTGTTGGTATGTGGTGTCTTGTTAGCTAGTGGTGTCCTGTTAGCTAGTGGTGTCCTGTTAGCTAGTGGTGTCCTGTTAGCTAGTGGTGTCCTGTTAGCTAGTGTTGTCCTGTTAGCTAGTGGTGTCCTGTTAGTTAGTGGTGTCCTGTTGGTATGTTGTCTTGTTAGCTAGTGGTGTCCTGTTACTGCTGTCCTGTTAGCTAGTGGTGTCCTGTTAGCTAGTGGTGTCCTGTTGGTATGTGGTGTCTTGTTAGCTAGTGGTGTCCTGTTGGTATGTGGTGTCCTGTTGGTATGTGGTGTCATGTTAGCTAGTGGTGTCCTGTTAGCTAGTGGTGTCCTGTTGGTATGTGGTGCCCTGTTAGCCAGTGTTGTCCTGTTAGCTAGTTGTGTTCTGTTGGTATGTGGTGTCCTGTTAGCTAGTGGTGTCCTGTTAGCTAGTGGTGTCCTGTTAGCTAGTGGTGTCCTGTTGGTATGTGGTGTCCTGTTAGCTAGTGGTGTCCTGTTGGTATGTGGTGCCCTGTTAGCTAGTGGTGTCCTGTTAGCTAGTGGTGTCCTGTTGGTATGTGGTGTCTGTTAGCCAGTGGTGTCCTGTTAGCTAGTTGTGTTCTGTTGGTATGTGGTGTCCTGTTAGCTAGTGGTGTCCTGTTAGCTAGTGGTGTCCTGTTAGCTAGTGGTGTCCTGTTAGCTAGTGCTGTCCTGTTAGCTAGTGGTGTCCTGTTGGTATGTGGTGTCCTGTTGCTAGTGGTGTCCTGTTGGCATGTGGTGCCCTGTTAGCTAGTGGTGTCCTGTTGGTATGTGGTGCCCTGTTAGCTAGTAGTGTCCTGTTAGCTAGTGTTGTCCCATTAGATGTCTGGATGCTTTTTACAGTGGAGATCAAGTTTATAAAGTGCCTGACTGGGTTAAATTGACAGTGGATTACGCAGTGAGATGGAACAGAGTAAATAGGCATTTTAACGTCATAGATTTAGCAGGTGGTAACTTGTGGAATAGACACCGGCTGGAATGCAGTTTTACCCAATCAGTGTTCAGGATTAGACCCACCTGTTGTATAACTACTGTTGTTATGCACTGGGCTGCATTGACACCTGACCTCATAGACCTGCTGTCAGTGCTTTTATTTAGTTTTAAGGGAGTACAGATTGGTCGGGCTTACTGTGTCATGGCCTTTTGAGAGAGAGGGAGGGGATGTGAATATGAGGCCCATGTTTCAGTAACCTCTTGCGGCCTCTACTCTGAGTGGAGAGAGAGAGAGAGAGAGAGAGAGAGAGAGAGATAGAGAGAGAGAGAGAGAGAGAATAGATGAGAGAGACTTAGATACGCTAGAGAAGAGAAGATAACGTCAGTAGGGACGTATCTCCGCTACTACCCTCGCGATTCTCGAGAATAGAGCTCTCTCTGATCTACTCTCATAGCTAGCGATAGAACGAGATCATCGGAGAGAGAGAGATACAGACTATAGCGAGATAGTCATGCTGAGTCTCTCCTCTCTCTCTCGCTTTCCTCTGCTCGCTCTCTCTTCTGCTCTCACACTCTCTCATTTTCCTACTCTTCTTCGCTCTCCGATCCCTTTTCAGATCCTCCAAGTGGCTGCTGGTGTATTTTTTTTTATTTAACCATATTAGTCTTGTCTTCTCCTCGTGGTGGCCAGCCACACTCTCAGAAAAAAGGTGCTATTTAGGACCTAAAACGGTTCTTTGGCTGTCCCCATAGGAGAACCCTTTGAAGAACCCTTTGTGGTTACAGAGGTTTCTACATGGAACCCAAAAGAGTTCTACCTGGAACCAAAAATGGTTCTCATATGGGGACAGCCGAAGAATCCTTTTGGAACCCTTTTTTCCTAAGAGTGCAGAGGTCATCCCCTCATGGCTCGCCTCACTGAGCCCTCACGCTGGACAGGGGTTTAAGAGGGGACTCAGAGGGGGAGGGAGAGGACAGGGGGGGAGACAGAGGCGGAGAAATCTTTCCCCCTCCATCTCCTCCTCCTAAAATATATTTAGGAATGGATGGATATCGGTATGTCACCTCACCGAGCCCTTACGCCTGGACAGAGGATTAGAGAGAGAGTTAGAGGGGCGAAACAGAGAGGGGAGTCGAAGAGGGAGATATCTTTCAGGAGGGGAAAGAGAGCAGTGGAGGGGGAGAGTTAGAGGGGGAGACAGGGGGAGTATGAGGGGGGAGAAAGGTTTCAGAAAGGGAATGAGAGCAGTGGAGGGGGAGAGTTAGAGGGGGAGACGGGGGAATCGGAGGGGCATGAGATATCTTTTAGTAGATGAAGGGGAGCGGTTAGTCCCCCGCTGGGTAAGTTATGTGGTGCTAATGTTCCTGAGGGGCTCCAGCCTGGTGTCCCTGCTAGTTTAGGTGACAGCCAGGAGGATGTGACTCCTCTCCTCTCCAGCCTGGTGTCCCTGCTAGTTTACGTAAAATCCAGGAGGACGTGACTCCTCTCCTCTCCAGCCTGGTGTCCCTGCTAGTTTAGGTGACATCCAGGAGGACGTGACTCCTCTCCTCTCCAGCCTGGTGTCCCTGCTAGTTTAGGTGACATTCAGGAGGACGTGACTCCTCTCCTCTCCAGCCTGGTGTCCCTGTGTATTTAGGTGACAGCCAGGAGGACGTGTCTCCTCTCCTCTCCAGCATGGTGTCCCTGTGTATTTAGGTGACAGCCAGGAAGAATGTGACTGTTCCCCTAACCCCTGCTGTGGGTCTTTGTGGTGTGGTATATTCGCCATCTGCCTGGTGGGGTTGTCAAATGCCTGCTGATCTACTGTAGAAGTAATGAAAATGGTTATATGTTGTACATTGTGCAAATCAATAAGGATGTCCTCGGGTCTCTGTGATGTGGTGAAGTGACTGTGGCAGAGGCAGTCTGCCTAGTGGGGTTGTCACATGACTCTTGATGTAGACGCTGTGGCATTGCAGGAACAGTAGAAGTCACATGACTCTTGATGTAGACGCTGTGGCATTGCAGGACAGTAGACGTCACATGACTCTTGATGTAGACACTGTGGCATTGCAGGACAGTAGAAGTCACATGACTCTTGATGTAGACGCTGTGGCATTGCAGGACAGTAGAAGTCACATGACTCTTGATGTAGACGCTGTGGCATTGCAGTACAGTAGAAGTCACATGACTCTTGATGTAGACGCTGTGGCATTGCAGTACAGTAGAAGTCACATGACTCTTGATGTAGACGCTGTGGCATTGCAGTACAGTAGAAGTCACATGACTCTTGATGTAGACGCTGTGGCATTGCAGGACAGTAGAAGTCACATGACTCTTGATGTAGAACGCTGTGGCATTGCAGGGACAGTAGACGTCACATGACTCTTGATGTAGACCTGGGCGGTGAAGTCACATGACTCTTGATGTAGACGCTGTGGCATTGCAGTACAGTAGAAGTCACATGACTCTTGATGTAGACGCTGTGGCATTGACGTACAGTAGAAGTCACATGACTCTTGATGTAGACGCTGTGGCATTGCGGTACAGTAGAAGTCACATGACTCTTGATGTAGACGCTGTGGCATTGCAGGACAGTAGAAGTCACATGACTCTTGATGTAGACGCTGTGGCATTGCAGTGCAGTAGAAGTCTTTGCTAGTGTATAATGTGCATCCCATCACATGCCTCTTGATGCAGGAATGTTGTATATTGTGAAGCTCAAAGAGGATGTTTTGATTTCTGGTGTGGGAGGAAACATGACAGGAAGGACATGTTTAATCTCCATTGTTTTCTTTACTGCCGTCTCTATCCATGTCTCTAAAACACTGTTCACTACTACTACAGTATGTTCCCTCACACAGACAGAACTAGCTTCCTCTCTACCTGACTGCTTCACACAGACAGAACTAGCTTCCTCCTCTACCTGACTGCTTCACACAGACAGAACTAGCTTCCTCTCTACCTGACTGCTTCACACAGACAGAACTAGCTTCCTCTCTACCTGACTGCTTCACACAGACAGAACTAGCTTCCTCTCTACCTGACTGCTTCACACAGACAGAACTAGCTTCCTCTCTACTTGACTGCTTCACACAGACAGAACTAGCTTCCTCTCTACCTGACTGCTTCACACAGACAGAACTAGCTTCCTCCCCTCCCGACTGCTTCCACACAGACAACTAGTTTCCTCTCTACCTGACTGCTTCACACGACATACCTAGCTTTCTTTACCTGGACTGCTTCACACAGACAAAAACTAGCTTTCCCTTTACCTGACTGCTTCACACAGACAGAACTAGCTTCCTCTTTACTATGCTTCACACAAAACAAAACTAGCTTCCTCTTACCGGGACTGCTTCACACAGACAAGAACTAGCTTCCTCTTACCTGACTGCTCAACAGACGAACAAAGCTTCATCTCACCTGACTGCTTCAACAACAGAACTAGCTTCTCTCTACTGAACTGCTACACAAAACATAACTAGTTTCCTCTCTCCTTTACTGCTTACACGGGACACTTCTAGTTCCTCTTTACCTGATGCTTCACACAGAACAGAACAAAGCTTCCTCTCTACTGACGCTTCACACAGACGGGAATAGCTTCCTCTCACCTGACTGTTCACACAGACAGAACTAGCTTCCTTCTACCTCGCTTCACACAGACACCTTCTAGCTTCCTTTACCTGACTGCTTCACACAGACAGAAACTAGCTCCTCTACTGACGCTTCAAAAGACAAAAAACTAGCTTCTCTCTACCTGACGCGTCACACAGGAAGAACTAGCTCCTCTCTACCTGACTGCTTCACACAGACAGAACTAGCTTCCTCTTACCTGATGCTTCACACGACAGAACTAGCTTCTCTCTACCTACTGCTTCACACAGACAAAACTAGCTTTCCTCTCTACCTGACTGCTTCACACAGACACTTCTAGCTTCCTCTTACTACTGCTCACACAGACAGAACTAGCTTCCTCTCACCTGACGTTTCAAAAAAGACAGAACTAAAGCTTCCTCTCAAACCGACTGCTTCACACAGACAGAACTAGCTTCCTCTCTACCTGACTTCTTCACACAGACAGAATAAGCTTCCCTCTACTGACTGTTCACACAGACAGAACTAGCTTCCTCTCTAATCTGACTGCTTCAACACGGGACAGAACGACCTTCCTCTCTACCGGGACTGCTTCACACGACAGAACTACTTCCTCTTACCTGACTGCTTCACACAGACAGAACTAGCTTCCTCTCTACCTGACTGTTCAGAAGACAGACAGATTCTCTACTGTGCTCACAGACATGAACTAGCTTCCTCTTACCTGAACTGTTACAAGACTTGATTAGACCTTCGCATTGAGGACGTTAAGCAGACAAACTATTGAGCTTCCGCTTTACCTGACTGTTCACACAGACAAACTAGCTTCCTCTTTACCTGACTGCTTCACACAGACAGAACTAGCTTCCTCTCTACCTGACTGCTTCACACAGACAGAACTAGCTTCCTCTTACCTGACTGCTTCACACAGACAGAACTAGCTTCCTCTTTACCTGACTGCCACATCCAGCTGTCAAGCTGACAAACTCATTCCTTAAGTTACCAGGTCCAGGCCACACCACCAACCACACCACCAACGAGTTAACAGGCTCTGTGTCATGTCTCCTGCAGCCCACTGACCCACTCCCACTCTCTTCCCCTGTTGGAGTCATTACAGAGGAACCAGGCCTACAGGCCCCCTCAGTTGCCAGGCCTCCCCCAGGATCAGATCTCTGTCCTGGGCTGTAGTCTCTCTGTGAGGGGAGTGGATGGATGGATGATGACATGAATCAAATCAAATCAAATCAAATCAAATTGTATTGGTCACATGCGCCGAATACAACAGTGCAGACATTACAGTGAAATGCTTACTTACAGCCCTTAACCAACAGTGCATTTATTTTAAACAAAAAAAGTAAAAATAAACAAAAAAAGTGTTGAGAAAAAAAGAGCAGAAGTCAAATAAAGTGACAGTAGGGAGGCTATATATACAGGGGGGTACCGGTGCAGATCCAATGTGCGGGGGCACCGGCTAGTTGAGGTAGTTGAGGTAATATGTACATGTGGGTAGAGTTAAAGTGACTATGCATAAATACTTAACAGAGTAGCAGCAGCGTAAAAAGGATGGGGGTGGGGGGGGGGCAGTGCAAATAGTCCGGGTAGCCATGATTAGCTGTGAATCCTGCCTCACTGTATCGCTATGAGGTCCCACATAACTCGGGTTGGTAGCGCAGAAGGCCAGTAAGAGGAGAGGAAATAAGGATATTCTAGCTGATTAGGAGTAATTCATTAGCTCAATATTCATTAGTTCAGTATTGTAAATAATGTTTTTTTCTTAACTGACTTGCCTACTTAAATAAATAAAAAAGTAGTAATTAGTTCAGTTGATATAGTTTTTTGGCAGCCTTGGCTGTTGATACAGCACTCACAGTGTCAGTAACAAATAATTACACACACGCCTTTCTCTTTCCAAGGTTTTTCAGTGGGCCAGCTGAACTGTGCCAGACAGAAGCAGGCTGGCGAGGGTTTTTCAGTGGGCCAGCTGAACTGTGCCAGACAGAAGCAGGCTGGCGAGGGTGCTCATCAGGAGAGACACACGAGCAGGGAGGGGGGGGGGGGGGGGGGGGGGGGGGGGGGGGGGGGGGGGGACAGGCTGCCACCAGACCATGCACGAGCGTCAACGCACACTGAAACGCACAGACGCAACGCACACTGAAACGCACAGACGCACGCACACTGAAACGCACAGACGCACGCACACTGAATCATTCTCCCTCTTGCACATTGCACAAAACCACAAGCTCTTTCTCTCACACACACATACTGGCCCTAACGAGAAGGTTCAGAAAGGCCCAATCAGAACAGAGGGCGGTCCTAAGAAAGGACTACCAGAAGTGTTTGAGCAGCTGCAGTCGTGACCCACATACCACATGGATGATCCTGTGCTCTGTACCTTCTAGACAGGATAGCTGTGTGGGTAGCAAGAGGAACACCACACTTGCCATTTACCGATACAATCCCACCAATATACAACATTGGTGCAACAATTATGGACAGTTCAGCCCCTCAGTGCTCTGCCTCAGACGTTCACTTTCAGCCACCCTTTAGTGTCTTAATTGACAGTATTTAGCTGGCTCAGGCCTCTGGATGTGTGGGTGGTACTACACTCAATGGTGCAGTTGGACTGTAAACAATGTGTCTCAGAGTTAAATGAGGTCTGCATCCTGTGAAGTGAATAACCTGGAGTATGGAGTGGTGATCAGATAACCCACACAGACACACACATGCACGCACACACACACACACACAAACACACACACACACACACACACACACACACACACACACACCACACAACACACACTCACATACACACACCACACACACACACACACGCACGCACTCACGCCACACACACACACACTGGAGTCATGAAAGACAACCCATGGTTGCAGTCATATGAAGGGCATGCTAAAACACTAATTGGACAGACTCTTTGGTATAGTGCCCAAAAAACAAAATGTTCTATAGATATTTTGTCTCTATCGATGTACAGATATGAGGCAGACTGACTGTTCTTTGTGTCTATCGATGTACAGATATGAGGCAGACTGACTGTTCTTTGTGTCTATCGATGTACAGATATGAGGCAGACTGACTGTTCTTTGTGTCTATCGATGTACAGATATGAGGCAGACTGACTGACTGTTCTTTGTGTCTATCGATGTACAGATATGAGACAGACTGACTGACTGTTCTGTGTGTCTATCGATGTACAGATATGAGGCAGACTGACTGTTCTTTGTGTCTATCGATGTACAGATATGAGGCAGACAGACTGACTGTTCTTTGTCTCTATCGATGTACAGATATGAGGCAGACTGACTGACTGTTCTTTGTGTCATCATGTACAGATATGAGGCAGACTGACTGACTGTTCTTTGTGTCTATCGATGTACCAGATATGAGGAGACTGACTGTTCTTGGTCTACGATGTACAGATATTGAGGCAGACAGACTGATGTTCTTTGTCTCTATCGATGTACAGATATGAGGCAGACAGACTGACTGTTCTTTGTCTCTATCGATGTACAGATATGAGGCAGACTGACTGACTGTTCTTTGTGTCTATCGATGTACAGATATGAGGCAGACTGACTGACTGTTCTTTGTGTCTATCGATGTACAGATAGGAGGCAGACTGACTGACTGTTCTTTGACTTGTTTTGTCTGTGTGAGTGACTTTCATACCTCTTCACTGGTGCTGAGTGAAGGGCTCCTTTACCACAAAGGACGGCTCAGTGGTTCCATGGCTTAAGTTAGCATGCAGTCAGTCAGATCAGGAAGTTACAGTCAGACAGATCAGGAAGTTACAGTCAGACAGATCAGGAAGTTACAGTCAGACAGATCAGGAAGTTACAGTCAGACAGATCAGGAAGTTACAGTCAGACAGATCAGGAAGTTACAGTCAGTCAGATCAGGAAGTTACAGTCAGACAGATCAGGAAGTTACAGTCAGACAGATCAGGAAGTTACAGTCAGACAGATCGGAGTTACAGTCAGACAGATCAGGAAGTTACAGTCAGACAGATCAGGAAGTTACAGTCAGACAGATCAGGAAGTTACAGTCAGACAGATCAGGGAAGTTACAGTCAGACAGATCAGGAAGTTTACAGTCAGACAGATCAGGAAGTTACAGTCAGACAGATCAGGAAGTTACAGTCAGACAGATCAGGAAGTTACAGTCAGACAGATCAGGAAGTTACAGTCAGTCAGATCAGGAAGTTACAGTCAGACAGATCAGGAAGTTACAGTCAACATCAGGAAGTTACAGTCAGACAGATCAGGAAGTTACAGTCAGACAGATCAGGAAGTTACAGTCAGACAGATCAGGAAGTTACAGTCAGACAGATCAGGAAGTTACAGTCAGACAGATCAGGAAGTTACAGTCAGACAGATCAGGAAGTTACAGTCAGACAGATCAGGAAGTTACAGTCAGACCGTCAGGAATTACAGTCGAAGATCAGGAAGTTACAGTCAGACAGATCAGGAAGTTACAGTCAGACCGATCAGGAAGTTACAGTCAGACCGATCAGGAAGTTACAGTCAGACCGATCAGGAAGTTACAGTCAGACAGATCAGGAAGTTACAGTCAGACAGATCAGGAAGTTACAGTCAGACAGATCAGAAGGCCTCAACAGGTCAGGGAGCACAGATAGAGATCAGCTTAAGAGAAAGAGATGCTAGCTCAGACTGATCCTGTGTTGCCCAGTTGGTAGAGCAGTGTACTTGCAATGCCAGGGTTGTGGGTTCGATTCCCAAGGGGAACCAGTATGAAAATGTATGCACTCACTAACTGTAAGTTGCTCTGGATAAGAGCATCTACTAAAATGTAAAAATGACTACATTGCTAGCATGCAGTTCACCCCCGTGATTGTTTTTGTGAAAAGTGATAATAGTTACATAATATGTAATTGATTGATTGAATGACAACATATTGAATTTTGATTCATTATGTTTCTCCAGATGGGATGTTCCCGCCGTCCTTCAGCCTGAAGAAGTTGTGTAAGTTCTGTGATGTGGAGTCTTCGTCCTGCAACGGGACAGGAAGCTGCCTCTCCAACTGTTCCATCACCGCTATCTGTCCCCAGGAGGAGGAGGTCTGCATCACCATCTGGTAGGGTTACAGTGGAGAGGGGGGGGTCTGTCTCCATCTGGTAGGGTTACAGTGGAGAGGGGGGGTCTGTCTCCATCTGGTAGGGTTACAGTGGAGAGGGGGGTCTGTCTCCATTTCTGGGGGGGGGGGGGTCTGTCTCCATCTGGTAGGGTTACAGTGGAGAGGGGGGGTCTGTCTCCATCTGGTAGGGTTACAGTGGAGAGGGGGGGGGTCTGCATCACCATCTGGTAGGGTTACAGTGGAGAGGGGGGGTCTGCTCATCTCTGTCAGTATGTGTCTCCATCGTCTGGGGTGGTGGTCTCCATCTCATGTCTGTGTGGTTCACATCTCTGTGAGGGTGGTCTCCATCCCGTCTGGTGTGTCTCCACTCTGTGTCGTGGTGTGTCTCATCTCTCTGTGTGGGTCTCATCTCTCTTCTGGTGGTGTTCCATATCTTGTCTGTGTGTGTCTCCATCTCTATCGTAGGGGTGGTCTCCATCTCTCTGCGGTGTGTCTCCATCACTCTGTTGTGGGTTCCAAATCGTCGTGGGGTCTCCATTCTCTGTCTGGTCTGTTCCATCTGTCGTAGGGGGTGTGTCTCATCTCTGGTGTGTGTGTCTCCATCACTCTCTGTCTGGGGTGTGTGTCTCATCCCGTCTGTGTGTGTCTCCATCTCTCTGTCTGTGTGCGTCTCCATCTCTCTGTCTGGTGTGTCTCCATCTCTCTGTCTGTGTGTGTCTCCATCTCTCTGTCTGTGTGTGTCTCCATCTCTCTGTTGTGTGTGTCTCCATCTCTCTTCTGTGTGTGTCTCCATCTCTCTGTCTGTGTCTGTCTCCATCTCTCTGTCAGTGTGTGTCTCCATCTCTCTGTCTGTGTGTGTCTCCATCTCTCTGTCTGTGTGTGTCTCCATCTCTCTGTCTGTGTGTGTCTCCATCTCTCTGTCTGTGTGTGTCTCCATCTCTCTGTCTGTGTGTGTCTCCATCTCTCTGTCTGTGTGGTCTCCATCTCTCTGTCTGTGTGTGTCTCCATCTCTCTGTCTGTGTGTGTCTCCATCTCTCTGTCTGTGTGTGTCTCCATCTCTCTGTCTGTGTCTGTTCTCCATCTCTCTGTCATGTGTGTGTCTCCATCTCTCTGTCTGTGTGTGTCTCCATCTCTCTGTCTGTGTGTGTCTCCATCTCTCTGTCTGTGTGTGTCTCCATCTCTCTGTCTGTGTGCGTCTCCATCTCTCTGTCTGTGTGTGTCTCCATCTCTCTGTCTGTGTGTGTCTCCATCTCTCTGTCTGTGTGTGTCTCCATCTCTCTGTCAGTGTGTCTTATGATCTTTCTGTCATTGTGTCTTACGATCTTTCTGTCTGTGTGTGTCTCCATCTCTCTGTCTGTGTGTGTCTCCATCTCTCTGTCTGTGTGTGTCTCCATCTCTCTGTCTGTGTCTGTGCATGTTTCTGTGTCTGTCTGTCTGTCTGTCTGTCTGTCTGTCTGTCTGTCTGTCTGTCTGTCTGTCTGTCTGTCTGTCTGTCTGTCTGTCTGTCTGTCTGTCTGTCTGTCTGTCTGACACTCTCTCCATATCTCCAGGAGGAAGAATGAAGGTAACTACAGCATTGAGACTCTGTGTCATGACCCCTCCAAGCCTCTGTACGGTGTGGAGCTGGATGACTACAACAGTTCTACGTGTGCCATGAAGGAGAAGAAGAGTTCTGGAGGACCATTCTTTATCTGCTCCTGTACTGAAGAGGAGTGTAATGATAACCTGTCCTTCACTCCCAGTGAGTACCTTACACACACTGGGGCAATCCATTCATTTCATCAAGTTATTCTGTTGCATTTAATCATTCACCCGTTAACTCATCAATCCATTGAGTCGTCCAATCGTATCATTTACACAGCTGACAATTACAGCTGAAACATTGGCTAACGCTGTAAGAAACCAGTGAGTAACAGTGTCATTGGCACTGGTTTAGAAACTTTACAGGAAAGGAAACAGCTATTCTCTTTATAGTTATACCGTAAGGGTTTCTATAGATGCTCTTATCCAGAGCGACTTGCAGAAGCAATTTGGGTTAGATGTCCTTGCTCAAGGGCACGTCGGCAGTACTGCAGGATAGAACAGGCTGTTGTATTAGTTTCAGAGTGGAGATGATGTGGGACAGCGATCCTCTCCTTCCTCGCTACAGGAAGACCAACTACACTGTCTACTGTGTTATAGATTGAGAGACTTCCATGCTCCTGAGGTTGAGGTAGATAGTGGAGAATAGTGTGGGAGGCCTTGCTACTCCAGCCCTGTGAGAGGTAGAGGTTGAGGTAGATAGTGGAGAATAGTGTGGGGGCCTTGCTACCCCAGCCCTGTGAGAGGTAGAGGTTGAGGTAGACAGTGTAGTGTAGTGTGGTGTGGGGCATGTGGGGCCGCGCAGGAGATCTCAGACATGTGGTTTCCTGTCTGTTCTTGAACTCAAGGAGCAGAAACATAGAGAGAGAGAGAAGATATATAGAGAGAGAGAGAGAGAGAGCTAGAGAGATCCGAGAGATCCATAAAAAGGAAAAAAGGGGGAGGGAGGGAGGGAGAGAACTCAGACAGTCATGCCTCAGTTTATTCATTGTATTTAATACTCCAGGCCTGGCAGGGATGCCCCTGTTCAATCCAAGTGTTTTATTTACTGGGTTTTAACGTTGCTTTATATAGTCCAAGGACACCCTCGTCTCACCGGTTGTCACGACTTCCTCCGAAGCTGCCTCCTCTCCTTGTTCGGGCAGGTTTCGTTGTTCGGTGTTCGTCGTCACCGGCCTTCTAGCCATGACATTCTGGTGTATTCCGCTACGCGCGCTGACCATGTGTCCCTGGTTCGCAGAGTGCTGGGCCGACTGTTGGAGCATGACCTATATGCCAAGGCAGAAAAGTGTCTGTTCTTCCAACAGTCTGTCTCCTTCCTCGGATACCACATCACCACCTTCGGTGTGGAGATGGAGGGAGACCGCATTTCAACCACAGTAAAGGAGGTGCAGCGCTTCATTTGCTTTGACAATTACTATCGGAGGATTATGAACGGGAGCTGTTGGCTGTTGTCAGAGCCCTGACCGCGTGGAGGCACTGGATCGAGGGGGCAAAACACCCTTTCCTCGTCTGGACTGACCACCGTAACCTGGACATCTGGGCAGCGAGGGGTAAGAATCCAAGGTGGACCTTGTTCTTCACCCGGTTTGATTTCACACTGTCCTATATACCAGGCACAACGAACGTGAAGGCAGACGCACTGTCACGGCTGTACGACACAGAGGAGAGGCCCAAAGACAACACCCCCATACTCCCGGGCCTCCTGCATTGTGGCGCCGGTAGTGTGGGCGGTGGACGCGGACATAGAGCGGGCGTTACGCACAGAGCCATCTCCACCTCGGTGCCCAGCTGGGCTGCGGTACGTGCCCTTCTCTTGTCCGTGATCGTCTTATCTATTGGGCACACACGTCCCCCTCCTCTGGTCACCCAGGCATCGGCCGTACAGTGCGCTGCCTGACCGGGAGGTACTGGTGGCCTACCTTGGCTAAGGACGTGAGGGTGTATGTCTCCTCCTGCTCGGTGTGCGCCCAGAGTAAGGCACCTAGGCACCTCTCAGCGGGTAAATTACATCCCTTACCAGTTCCTCCAAGGCCTTATCGATTGACTTCCTGACTGATCTTCCCCTCTCTCAGGGTAACACCACCATCCTGGTCGTTGTGGACCGCTTTTCTAAAGCCTGCCGCCTCCTTCCTCTGCCCGGTCTCCCCACGGCCCTGCTTACAGTGGAGTCCCTGTTTACTCACGTCTTCCGGCACTACGGGGTGCCAGAGAGGACATAGTCTGACCGGTGTCCCCAGTTTACATCTAGGGTCTGGAAGGCGTTCATGGAACGTCTGGGGGGTCTCGTCAGCCTGACCTCTGGGTTTCACCCCGAATCTAATGGGCAAGGCGAGGCGTCGGGTGGGTGGCCTTTAGTACCTCGTGGAGAGGGAGGGGTACGGTCCGGAGGAGCGGTGCTGGGTCCCGGTAAGGAATGTACTCGATCCCTCCCTGTTGCGAGATTTCCACCGTCGCAATCCGGCTCGCCCTGCTCCGCGTCCTCCTGGCCGTCCCTGAGGCCGGTGTCAGCGCGCTGCTGGAGCTGCGCGTGAAGGGGGGGTACTGTCATTACTTCCTCCGAAAGCTGCCTCCTCTCCTTGTTCGGGCAGGCGCGTTCGTCGTCACCAGCCTTCTAGCCACCGCCGCTCCTCATCTCATCATTCCATTTGTTTTGTCTTGTTTATTACACACACCTGGTTCATATCCCCTCATCAGTCCTTGTATAAGTGTTCCCTCTGCCCCCCCCCCATGTCTTTGTGTGTGATTGTTTCATGTGGAGGTGACGATAGCTCGATGGAGCTTTATGTACTGTTATCACCTGGGATGTTCACCCGTGTTTTGTTTTTCTCCAGTGCGCCATTACGCCGCACTGTAGTTGTTCTACGCATTGCTGCGAACCGCTGTATTGGCTGAATAAACCATTTATTCTGTGATTTACCCCTCCTGCGCCTGACTCCGTCCAAATCACATTTTACATTTTAGTCATTTAGCAGACGCTCTTATCCAGAGCGACTTACAGTTAGTGAATACATATTTTTTTTATACTGGCCCCCCGTGGGAATCGAACCCACAACCCTGGCGTTGCAAAAGCCATGCTCTATCAACTGAGCTACATCCCTGCCAGCCATTCCCTCCCCTACCCTGGACGACGCTGGGCCAATTGTGCGCCGCCCCATGGGTCTCCCGGTCGCGGCCGGCGGCGACAGAGCCTGGATTCGAACCAGGATCTCTAGTGGCACAGTTAGCACTGCGATGCAGCGCCTTAGACCACTGCGCCACTCCGCTACACTGGTTCAGCTTTAAAGCTGCCTCTAGTTAAACAGAGCAGAAAATATATCCATTATTCATGCTTATTTCTTTAACGTTTTTTTCCCCTGTTTTCCAGTAATGCAGGTTCATATGCTGGAGAGACAGTTTCCATACCAGGGTTGTTGTGTTTATGAGGGCACAACTTGGGAAAAAACTAAATGAGCGTCAAAGCAGGACCTTACTGCGTTTCATGACAACTGAACGGGACCCAGTTCTCTCTCTCTCTCCAGTCTGAGGTGGCAGATAGCTTAGTGGTTAAGAGCGTTGTGCCAGTAACTGAAAGGTTGCTGGTTCTAATCCCTGAGCCGACTAGGTGAAAAATCTGTCGATGTGCCCTTGAGCAAGGCATTTAACCCTAATTGCACCCGTAAGTTGATCGTGATAAGAGCGTCTGCTAAATGACAAAAAATTGAGGCTGTGGTCCTTCCAGCTCTTTTCTAAGCAGAGAGGCAGAAGGCCTTCTTTCCGTAGAGGATACATGTCACATCAAATCAAATCAAAATGTATTTGCCACATGCGCTGAATACAACAGGTTTATACATTACCGTGAAATGCTTACTTACAGCCCTTAACCAACAATGCATTAATTTTTTTATAAAAAAGTAAAATAAAACAACAACAACAGAAGAGTGTTGAGAAAAAAAGAGCAGAAGTAAAATAAAATAACAGTAGGGAGGCTATATACAGGGGGGCCCGGTGCAGAGTCAATGTGCGGGGGCACCGGCTAGTTGAGGTAGTTGAGGTAATATGTACATGTGGGTAGAGTTAAAGTGACTATGCATAAATAATTAACAGAGTAGCAGCAGCGTAAAAAGATGGGGTGGGGGTGGGGGGGCAATGCAAATAGTCCGGGTAGCCATGATTAGCTGTTCAGGAGTCTTATGGCTTGGGGGTAGAAGCTGTTGAGAAGCCTTTTGGACCTAGACTTGGCGCTCCGGTACCGCTTGCCGTGTGGTAGCAGAGAAGCACAGCTCCCGCTCAGCCCAGTCAAAACTGTTCGCTGCTCTGGCACCCCAATGGTGGAACAAGCTCCCTCACGACGCCAGGACAGCGGAGTCACTCACCACCTTCCGGAGACATTTGAAACCCCACCTCTTTAAGGAATACCTGGGATAGGATAAAGTATTCCTTCTAACCCCCCCCCCCCCCCCCCCCCCAAATTGTAAAGTGGTTATCCCACTGGCTATAGGGTGAACGCACCAATTTGTGAGTCGCTCTGGCTAAGAGCGTCTGCTAAATGACTAAAATGTAAATGTAAATGTAGAACAGTCTATGACTAGGGTGGCTGGAGTCTTTGACAATTTTGAGGGCCTTCCTCTGACACCGCCTGGTATAGAGGTCCTGGATGGCAGGAATCTTGGCCCCAGTGATGAACTGGGCCGTACGCACTACCCTCTGTAGCGCCTTACGGTCGGATGCCGAGCAGTCGCCATACCAGGCAGTGATGCAACCAGTCAGGATGCTCTCGATGGTGCAGCTGTATAACTTTTTGAGGATCTGAGGACCCATGCCATGTAGCAGGAAGTTTCTGTTTATTTATTGGACTGATTCCACAGCTTATTCCTGCTCTATAAATGCCTAGCATTGTTGTCCCCTTAGGCCCTAGCATAGCATAGCATTCTACCTCTAGGCCCTAGCATTCCCTAGCATAGCATTCTACCCCTAGGCCCTAGCATTCCCTAGCATAGCATAGCATTCTCCCCCTAGGCCATAGCATTCCCTAGCATAGCATAGCATTCTACCCCTAGGCCCTAGCATTCCCTAGCATAGCATAGCATTCTACCTCTAGGCCCTAGCATTCCCTAGCATAGCATTCTACCTCTAGGCCCTAGCATTCCCTAGCATAGCATTCTACCTCTAGGCCCTAGCATTCCCTAGCATAGCATTCTACCTCTAGGCCCTAGCATTCCCTAGCATAGCATAGCATTCTACCTCTAGGCCCTAGCATTCCCTAGCATAGCATTCTACCTCTAGGCCCTAGCATTCCCTAGCATAGCATTCTACCTCTAGGCCCTAGCATTCCCTAGCATAGCATTCTACCTCTAGGCCCTAGCATTCCCTAGCATAGCATTCTACCTCTAGGCCCTAGCATTCCCTAGCATAGCATTCTACCTCTAGGCCCTAGCATTCCCTAGCATAGCATTCTCCCCCTAGGCCATAGCATTCCCTAGCATAGCATTCTACCCCTAGGCCCTAGCATTCCCTAGCATAGCATAGCATTCTCCCCCTAGGCCATAGCATTCCCTAGCATAGCATTCTACCTCTAGGCCCTAGCATTCCCTAGCATAGCATAGCATTCTCATGACGTGCCTAGAGCAGTCAGACTGTGGGCCATTGAGTTATACAGACACTAAAACACTGCGTTTGGGTCATTAATTGTGTGTGCGTGGGTGTGTGTTTGTGTGAGTGCGTACGTGTGCATACGTGTGTATCCACGCATACTTTAGTAGTGAGCGATTCATTATTTAGAAATACTGCTAGCTAGATCAGCAAATGTTTGTCAAGAAATGAATGATTGTGAAGACAAGAGATCCAGATGTTAATAATCAACAAGTCGTATCATCAGTCTGTCTGTTGTTCCTGTGATTCCTGTCAGTGAGATAACAGAGTGGATCAGCTCGACCACAAATGTTTTTAGCTTGTGAATTTGACAGCTTCAATCGGGAAGTGAAACAAAAACAAGTTTATCGTTTTTTATTTTTTTATTTAGCAACTGCCAGAATTCTCTCTCCAAAGGTAGCCTGTAATATCAAGTCATGTGATTTAGAGATAAGGATATCATTTATTTATTTAATATAAATTCACGGAAAGTTGAAAAGATCTTTCTGTGTTAACTGTTGTTCTCCTAGCTTGTTTCCATCCCTGAGTTATTTAAGAAGCCTTGATTATGAAACAACTTCCTCATCATCTGTCCCAAAGCATTCTGGCTATTGGATCATAATAGAAGAAGAAGAAGAGGAAGAAGAAGAAGAAGAAGAAGAAGAAGAAGAAGAAGAAGAAGAAGAAGAAGAAGAAGAGGAAGAAGAAGAAGAAGAGGAAGATATGGAAGGGAAAACATGTCTTGTGCATTTATTCCAGTCAGTCGGTCGCTCTGTGAGATTTTACAGTTCCCCATACTGTGGAATCTTGGCCTGCAGTCACACAGAACAGAACCGTTTTAAAGAGGAGTGACTCACGGGCAGACAGAGAGAGAGCGGCGGAGGGAGAGAGAGAGAGAGAGAGGGGGGAGGTAGAGAGAAAGAAAGGGGAGAGAGGGAGAGAGGACAGAGGGAGAGATACAGACTGCGAGAAAGGGAGAGGGGGTGGAGGGAGGGAGGGAGAGAGGACAGAGGGATATATGAGACATGTTTATAAAGCTGTTACCAGACCAGATAAATAATGAGTGTGATATTCAGATTAATATAGACCATGTTGCCATGTTTACCAGTCTGTTCCTGGAAGGATTCCTCCTGCGTTCCACATGAGGGTTTGGATTAGGGTTAGGGCAACATTTGGGATACCCCTCCTCTCTGATCCCTATCTGAACATGAGATCCCTCAATTCAATTTCAATTTAAGGCCTTTATTGCCATGAGAAACGTGTGCTAACATTGCCAAAGCAAGTTAAATAGATAATAAACAAAAAGTGAAATCAACAATAAAATATTAACAGTAAACATTACACTCAGAAGTTTCAAAAGATGAATGCTAATAGTCTGGGTAGCCATGATTACGGGCCCCGTGTAGCTCAGTTGGTAGAGCATGGCGCTTGCAACGCCAGGGTTGTGGGTTCGTTTCTGACAGGGGGGGCAGTATGAAAATGTATGCACTCACTAACTGTAAGTCGCTCTGGATAAGAGCATCTGCTAAATGACAAAAATGTAAAAATTAGGAGTCTTATGGCTTGGGGGGTAGAAGCTGTTAAGAAGCCTTTTGGACCTAGACTTGGCACTCCGGTACCGCTTGCTGTACGGTAGCAGAGAGAACAGTCTATGACTAGGGTGGCTGGAGTCTTTGATAATTTTTAGGGCCTTCGTCTGACACCGCCTGGTATAGAGGTCCTGGATGGCAGGAAGCTTTGTTGTACGCACTACCCTCTGTAGTGCCTTGCGGTTGGAGGCCGAGCAGTTGCCATACCAGGCAGTGATGCAACCAGTCAGGATGCTCTCGATGGTGCAGCTGTAGAACTTTTTGAGGATCTGCGGACCCATGCCAAATATTTTCAGTCTCCTGAGGGGGAATAGGCTTTGTCGTGCCCTCTTCACGACTGTCTTGGTGTGTTTGGACCATGATAGTTTGTTGGTGATGTGGACACCAAGGAACCTGAAGCTCTCAACCTGTTCCTCTAAAGCCCCGGCAATGAGAATGGGGGTGTGCTCAGTCCTCTTTTCTTTCCTGTAGTCCACAATCATCTCCTTTGTCTTGATCACGTTGAGGGAGAGGCTGTTATCCTGGCACCACACGGCCAGATCTCTGACCTCCTCCCTATAGGCTGTCTCATCGTTGTCGGTGATCAGGCCTACCACTGTTGTGTCGTCGACAAACTTAATGATGATGTTGGAGTCGTGCCTGGCCATGCAGTCATGGTTGAACAAGGAGTACAGGAGGGGACTGAGCACGCACCCCTGAGGGGCCCCCTTGTTGAGGATCAGCGTGGCAGATGTGTTGTTACCTACCCTTACCACCTGGGGGCGGCCTGTCAGGAAGTCCAGGATCCAGTTGCAGAGGGAGGTGTTTAGTCCCAGGGTCCTTAGCTTAGTGATGAGCTTTGAGGGCACTATGGTGTTGAATGCTGAGCTGTAGTCAATGAATATCATTCTCACGTAGGTGTTCCTCTTGTCCAGGTGGGAAAGGGCAGTATGGAGTGCAATAGAGATTGCATCATCTGTGGATCTGTTGGGCGGTATGTAAATTGGAGGGGGTCTAGGATTTCTGGGATAATGGTGTTGATGTGAGCCATGACCAGCCTTTTAAAGCACTTCATGGCTACAGACGTCAGTGCAACGGGTCGGTAGTCATTCAGGCAGGTTATATTAGTGTTCTTGGGCACAGGGACTATGGTGGTCTGCTTGAAACATGTTGGTATTACAGACTCAGTCAGGCACATGTTGAAAATGTCAGTGAAGACACTTGCCAGTTGGTCAGCGCATGCTCGGAGTACACGTCCTGGTAATCCGTCTGGCCCTGCGGCCTTGTGAATGTTGACCTGCTTAAAAGTCTTACTTACATCGGCTACGGAGAGCGTGATCACATAGTCATTTTATGCTTCAGTGTTGCTTGCCTCGAAGCGAGCATAGAAGTTATTTCGCTCGTCTGGTGGGCTTGTGTCACTGGGCAGCTCGCGGCTGTGCTTCCCTTTGTAGTCTGTAAGAGTTTTCAAGCCCTGCCACATCCGACGAGCGTCAGAGCCGGTGTAGTACGATTCAATCTTAGTCCTGTATTGACTTTTTGCCTGTTTGATGGTTCGTCTGAGGGCATAGCGGGATTTCTTATAAGCGTCTGGGTTAGAGTCCCGCTCCTTGAAATCGGCAGCTCTACCCTTTAGCTCAGTGCAGATGTTGCCTGTAATCCATGGCTTCTGGTTGGGGTATGTACGTACGGTCACTGTGGGGACAACGTCATGATGAAGCATGGGCAGGAGAAGGATGAGAAATCAACAAAAGCATGAGAAGACTTTGCCTTTGTTTTGGTCTGTTTGTTTGTCAGTTAGGGTGTGCAGGGTGCATACGTGGTCTGTCCTACGGCAATTTGGTGAAAAGCCAATTTGACATTTGCTCGGTACATTGTTTTCACTGAGGAAATGTACAAGTCTGCTGTTAATGATAATGCAGAGGATTTTCCCAAGGTTGCTGTTGACGCATGTCCCACGGTAGTTATTGGGGTCAAATTTGTCTCCACTTTTGTGGATTGGGGTGATCAGTCCTTGGTTCCAAATATTGGAGTGGATGCTAGAGCTGAGGATGGTGTAAAGAGTTTAAGTGTAGCCAATTGGAATTTGTGGCTGTATATTTTATCATTTCATTTAGGATACCATCAACCCCACAGGCGTTTTTAGGTTGGAGGGTTTGTATTTTGTCCTGTAGTTCATTCAATGTAATTGGAGAATCCAGTGGGTTCTGTTAGTCTTTAATAGTTGATTCTAAGATTTGTATTTGATCATGTATATGTTTTTGCTGTTTGTTCTTTGTTATAGGGCCAAAAAGATTGGAGAAGTGGTTTACCCATACTTTTCCGTTTTGCATAGATAACTCTTTGTGTTGTTGTTTGTTTTCCAATTTTCCCAGAAGTGGTTAGAGTCTATGTATTCTTCAATTACATTGAGCTGATTTCTGACATGCTGTTCCTTCTTTTTCCGTAGTGTATTTCTGTATTGTTTTAGTGATTCACCATAGTGAAGACGTAGGCTCAGGTTTCCTGGGTCTCTATGTTTTTGGTTGGATAGGTTTCTCAATTTCTTTCTTAGGTTTTTGCATTCTTCATCAAACCATTGTCATTGTTGTTAATTTCTTAGGTTGTTCGCTTCACATTCTAGGATTAGATATGGAAGCTGAGAGGTCAAACATTACTGTTTTAGGTTTTCTCTCTCTCTCTCTCTCTCTCTCCCTCTCTCTCCTCTCTCTCGATCTCTCTCTCTCTCTCTCTCTCTCTCTCTCTCTCTCTCTCCTCTCTCTCTCTCCCTCTCTCTCTCTCTCTCTCTCGATCTCTCTCTCTCTATCTCTCTCTCTCTCTCTCTCTCTCTCTCTCTCTCTCTCTCTCTCTCCTCTCTCTCTCTCTCTCTTACTAAAAAGGCTAGGATTAGGTAGAGACAACACCTTGGCATGTCCACACTGCCAAACTATGTTCAGTAAAGTTTTATTTGAAGCTTGTGAAAACTCTGCTCTCCCGCTCCTTCTCTGGAAATGTTTTACAAACTTGTGCAAGTATATGTGTTTTGTATGTTTGTGTCTGTGGCTCAGCCTGAAGCGATTAACTGACAGTTTTACTGTCACCCCCTACCTATCTGTAACAAACAAACACACACACACACACACACACACTCCTCCAACCACACTATTATGTTTTTATTCATTTTACACAATCACCCGTCACCCCCCTTCCAGTATAAGAAGCCTACTCTGGTGCTGTTCAAAGAGAAATGGAGAGTTGAGCACCAGTGCTACTGCCCTGCTCCCTGCTCTTCCCCCTGCCCAACCACCACACTACCTCCCCCCCCCAGCCCCAGTTCCCTGCCCCAGCCTCACTGCCCTGTCTCCTGCCCAGTGCCCAACCACACTGCCCCCCCCCCAGCCCCAGTTCCCTGCCCCAGCCTCACTGCCCTGTCTCCTGCCCAGTGCCCAACCACACTGCCTCCCCCCCAGCCCCAGTTCCCTGCCCCAGCCTCACTGCCCTGTCTCCTGCCCAGTGCCCAACCACACTGCCCCCCCCCCGCCCCGCCCCGCCCCAGTTCCCTGCCCCAGCCTCACTGCCCTGTCTCCTGCCCAGTGCCCACGGAACGTAGCTGGCAGAGAGGCTCTCTGTTTGGTTGTGGAGCCTCTGGACCTCCTTCGGTGGTAAGTGGCAGCCTGGCAGTCAACCCACAGTGTGTCAGCTAGGGTCATTTTCCTCTGAGAGACTCTGACTGAGGCAGATTGAACTGGTGCCCAGAGTAGCGAGGACTCACAGGACACACTGTCTCCTCTGTCTCCATTCTGTACAGGAGGGGGTTTGGTTGGTTTGGGTGCTAAGTCTTACCAGGCCTGAATAAAGTTGTGTTACGTTGAGCCCTACTCTATTCTAATCTACTCTATTCTACTCTACTCTACTCTACTCTACTCTATTCTACTCCACTCTACTCTTTAAACATTTTTTTAGTCATTTAGCAGACGCTCTTATCCATAGCGACTTACAGGTAGTGAGTGCATACAATTATTATATATATATATTTTTTTTTATACTGGCCCCCCGTGGGAATCGAACCCACAACACTGCCGTTGCAAGCGCCATGCTCTACCAACTGAGCTACACAGGACTACTCTACTCTACTCTACTCTACTCTGCTCTACTCTACTCTATTCTACTCTGTTCTGTTCTATTCTAATCTAATCTACTCTACTCTACTCTACTCTACTCTACTCTACTCTACTCTATTCTACTCTGTTCTATTCTAATCTAATCTACTCTACTCTACTCTACTCTACTCTATTCTACTCTGTTCTGTTCTATTCTAATCTAATCTACTCTACTCTACTCTACTCTACTCTACTCTACTCTACTCTACTCTACTCTATTCTACTCTGTTCTATTCTACTCTATTCTACTCTGTTCTATTCTACTCTACTCTACTCTATTCTACTCTACTCTATTCTACTCTGTTCTATTCTACTCTAATCTACTCTAATCTACTCTATTCTACTCTACTCTACTCTATTCTACTCTGTTCTATTCTACTCTACTCTACTCTATTCTACTCTACTCTACTCTATTATATTCTATTCTTGTTAGGTGGCAGTGCCCAGTACCCACTCCACCTCCTAGAGATGTGGAGGGTCAAGGATAGAATGTCTCTATTCATATCTGAACTCTATTCATATCTGAACTCTATTCATATCTGAACTCTATTCATGTCTGAACTCTATTCATGTCTGAACTCTATTCATATCTGAACTCTATCTCATTCATTCTGAACTTATTCATATCTGAACTCTATTCATGTCTGAACTCTATTCATGTCTGAACTCTATTCATATCTGAACTAATATCTGAACTCTATTCATGTCTGAACTCTATTCATATCTGAACTCTATTCATATCTGAACTCTATTCATGTCTGAACTCTATTCATGTCTGAACTCTATTCATGTCTGAACTCTATTCATATCTGAACTCTATTCATATCTGAACTCTATTTCATGTCTGAACCTCTATTCATATCCGAAATTTATTCATGTCTGAACTCTATTCATTCGAACTCTATTCATGTCTGAACTCTATTCATATCTGAACTCTATTCATGTCTGAACTCTATTCATGTCTGAACTCTATTCATGTCTGAACTCTATTCATGTCTGAACTCTATTCATGTCTGAACTCTATTCATATCTGAACTCTATTCATATCTGAACTCTATTCATGTCTGAACTCTATTCATGTCTGAACTCTATTCATGTCTGAACTCTATTCATGTCTGAACTCTATTCATATCTGAACTCTATTCATATCTGAACTCTATTCATATCTGAACTCTATTCATGTCTGAACTCTATTCATATCTGAACTCTATTCATGTCTGAACTCTATTCATATCTGAACTCTATTCATATTGACTATATCTGAACTCTATTCATTCTGAACTCTATTCATATCTGAACTCTATTAATTCTGAACTCTATTCATATCTGAATCATTCATATCTGAACTCTATTCTATGTCTGAACTCTATTCATATCTGAACTCTATTCATGTCTGAACTTATTTTATAAAATTTAAAACAAATTTTTTTTCTGAACTTATTCATGTCTGAACTTATTTTTATATTGAAAATCTATTATAATCTAAATCTATTCAAGGTCCAACTTCCCATTCATTTTTGAAATCTATTTTAGGGCTGAAAATCATTCATACTGAACTTTTATTTATATCGGGAATCTATTCAGTTGAACTCTATTTATGTTTTGAACTCATTCATGTCTGAAAAATCTATTTTTCGAACCCCTTTTTCCCTATCTGAACCCTTTTTCATTTTTTGAAACTCATTCATGTCTGAAATCTTTCATTCTGAACTCTATTCGTCTGAAATCTTTCATATCGAAAAATCTATTCATGTCTTTAAATCTATTTATGTCTTCAGGGTAATAAACCCCTACTATTCTGTTCTTTTTAAAAGTAAAAACCAAAGGGGAACGCCCCAGACTCCACAAAAACTGTAACATTTTTTTTAAAAACGGGAATTTTTTCCTTTTACACAAGGGAAAAGGGTTTTTGGGCCCTTTTTTTATTTGTTGGGGAACCAAAAAGGGGAAAAACCTTTATCAAAAAGCCCCAGCCCTTTTTATTTGGGAATAAAAATGGCCTTGGGGGTTAAAAACGGGGGCTTAACCTATTTTTTTCACTTTTTTCCCCACGAACTGGAAAATTGAAAAAGCAAAAACATTGGTTAAAGAGCAATTTAAAATTGGTTTTTTGAGGGATGAAAAAAGGGGGTATCGAAGGAGGGGTTAATTTTCTTTTATATTTCAGTCAGTTTTGTCATAGCAGCAGGGTGGTGTAACCGGGGTTTTCCCGCCCCACCAAAACCCCAAAATCTAAACCATTGACCAAGAGGGTATCCTCAAAAGGGGGAGGGCACCTATTTTTCCCAAGGGTTCCCGATAAACCCTTTTCTACATTGCTTATTTTAAGGGCCCCCCTCCCCTCCCTTTTAAATTTTGGGGTTTTCCAGTTGTGGGCACCCGACCATGGGTCGCAGGGGGGTACCAGTCATCCGGTTAAACTGCCCACCCTTTCGGTCCTGGGTGTGGAGTCATCGCTAGTTTACTGGTACCCCAGTCCCCCGCCAACGCAAAATCACCCAGGGAAAACGTGGGACAGCCCAAAAACCCCAAAAGAAAAGGGGAAAGGTTTAGGAAAAAACCACAATGGAATCATTTAATCAATCAGTCATGAGAAACAAAAAGTCAACATGAGGGTCAATTTAATCAGTCATAGATCAAAACCGTAAACATGAGATTTTAAAAAAATTAGTCATGAGAAAAAAATCAGTCACATGATATTTAAAAAAGTCAATCATGAGATCAATCAGTCAATATGAAGGGTCAATTTAACAATCATCAAAAAAATTTTTAATAAAAAGAGCCTTCAGGCGTTAGGTGTTTAAAACTGGATATTGTTTTAAAGGGATTATGGTTTTTCGGGCGGGGGTGACTCTCTTATTGGGGGAGTTTAATAATTCCCAAAATTTCAAAACAAAAAAAAAATAAAAAAAATTAAAAATCAAAAATAGGTCCCGGGCTGCAGTGGGACCGGCCCTGTGCTATAAAGAGGACCCACGAGGATTTAGAAAGAGTCAAAGCACGCCCAAAAACCCCAACCACAAAAAACTTTAACCCCTCCATCGGTGGGAAAGCAGGTGCAAGCTACTTGGGTTTTTGTTGTTGTTGTTGTTGGGGTTTTTTTGTTTGTCTTCTTTCTTTTTTTTCTTCTTCTTTTTTCTTTTTCCTGGTTTTTCTTTCCCAATTTTTAAGGTGTTCCCTTGGTGCTCCCGGTTAAACATTAATTTTTTATTTTTCTTTTCCCCTTCTTTCCTTTTTCTCCCCAAAGGGGGGTTTTAAAGGGTTTTCCCTGTTTGTTTTTAAATCCTTGGGGGAATTTTCCCTTTTTTAATGAATTCTATTTTTCCAAAAGGGGGGTAAGGGTTTTAACCAGCTTTTTGTTTTTTATATACATTAGGGGGTAAGGGTTTTAACCAGCTTTAAAGATATTATATAACATTAGGGGGGGTAAGGGTTTTTTAAAAAAGCTTTTCTTATTTATATTAACCCTTTGGTGGGGAAAGGGTTTTTTAAAACCGGTTTACGGGATAATATTACCCTTAGGTGGGTAAAGGGTTTTAACCAAACTTTAAATGTATATTTTTATACATTAGGGGGGTAAGGGTTATAAACCCGCTTTACTGTATTTTTAAAGGGGGGTAAAAGGGGTTTTAACCAGCTTTTCTGTATATTATATTACCTTAGGGGGGTAAGGGTTATAACCAGCCTTTTTCGGATTTATATTTACATTAAAGGGGGGTAAGGGGGTTTTCCGCTGAAGGGGGTTTTAAAGGAAAATTAAAAAGGGGGTTGGGGAAAACCCGTTTAAAGGGGGTTAAATATTTTTAGGGGGGAAGGGGATGCTTTTTGGAAAAGAAATGGGGAAGGAAATTTTTAAACCAACCCTTTACGAAAATATTTAACAAGGGGGAAAGGGAAAAGAGAGAAAGGGAAAGGTAAAGGGGTTTAAAAAAAGGACCTATTTTAAAAAGGGGGGAAATTTTATAAACCCGCTTTTTTTATTTTTTGACTTTTGGGGGAAAGGGTTAAAGGGATAAATTTTTAAAGTTTTTTAAAAAGGGGGGTAAATTTTCCCTTAATTTTTGAAAACATTGGGGAAAGGGGTTATAAAACCGTTTTTTTTTCCCCAAATGGGAAGGGTTTAAACCCGTTTACTGTTTTTTGGCCCCTATGGTGGGAAAAAACCACTTTCCCATTTATTAATAAATTGGGGGGAAGGGGTTTTGCCCCTGATGGAAAAAGACGGCCGGGGGGGTTAAACTTTTCTGTTTTTTTCATTAGGTGGGAAAGGGTTTAAAGTTTTGTTAAATAAATTTTTGGGGGGTGGGCCGCTTTTTTTTTTTATTTTTGGGGGGGTTTTAAAAACAATGTTATAGGGGGTTTTTGGGATGGAATTTAACTAATTGGGGTTTAAAAACCCTTTTGAAGGCATTGGGGGGGTTTTTCCCAGGCCCTTTTTTTTTTTTCCCCCTTTTAAGGATGTTCCGAATTATTAATGGGTGGGGAAGGGAAAAAGCTTTCCAAAAAAAAGGGGGAAAATAAAACCAAAAAAAACAAAATAAACCCCTTTCCGGGAAAAACCTTGGGGGGGGAAACCCATGGTTTTTTAAAAGGGGGATAAGGGGGTTTTGGGGGGGTACAAGGACCATGCGGGGTTTTGGGGGAACCATTTCCCAGTTACCCAAGGGTGGGGGGGCCAAAAAAGGGGAAGAACCCCTCGCCCACCGCCCCCCTTTCCCCGGGGGAAAGGGGGCCTCCCAAAAACTTTCCCTTCAGGTTTTGAAAAAAGTGTATTATTTTTTGAAAAGGGAAAGGGAAGCAGGGGGAAATATGGACCTGTTGGTCCCTTTTTGAAAAATTTGGACTGTTGCCTTCCCCGACTTTGGTTAATAACCCCCTCCCGGGGAAGTCAAACCAACAGCCGGGCAAGGTGCGGGTTTAGAAACAACAGTTAGTCCCTTTTGGTGGGAAATCTTTAAAAACCAAAGACTTGTTAAATTAACGAGCCCAAAAATTTTAGAATAAAAATTAAGCTGGAGGCCTAACAGGCCCAATGTTTCAGAGGGGGTGGTTTATAAGGGAAAATTTTTTTAAAACTTTACCCGGGGGAATTAAAGGAGCCCACCCGGGAAATGGTTTCACGGGGGTGGGGGGAGGTGGGGTTTTGGATTAAATTACAAAGGGTTTTGGGGGGGCCCCCAAGGGCCCCGGGTTTTTGGAGAAGGGTTAGGGGGGTTTTTTTTTTTTAAAGGGAATAGTTTAAGAAATATTGAATAAGCGGACCCTAGCCCCAGTTAGGGAGTGTTTTTTGGTTTTTTTGAGAATTTTGGGAATGAATAAGCGTTTCCCACGGCCCACGGGTTAAAAGAGTGTGGGGGGTTTATAGAGAATTAGAGGAAATACTGAAAAAAAGCTGTACCCCACGGCCCCCCGGGTTTAAAAAGAGTGTGGTGGTTTTTTTTGAGAATTTGAGTACTGAATAAGCGG